CCACCCCCACTGCCTGCTTCCCTCCTGGCTGCCGCTGGTGCCAGAGGATGGGGACAAGGACGATATGCTCTGGGACTGGGAAAGGAAGTCTAGTTGTGAGCAGAATCACAGGCATGACCATCCCATCACTTCCCACCCCAACACACCTTAAGGATGAAGTCGGGAGGCGTTCCAGGCCGGACGGTAGGCCTCAGGACCCCATCGTGATGGGAGTGGATAAGTGTCTCATCCAGATCCAGCACCAGGATCTTCCTCTTCACCTGGCCTGGACCACAACAGCCAGGAATGATACCCACCAACCTCCAGCCCACACCTTGAGCCCCACCTCACCTTACAGGAGCCTTCCCAGCCAGCACACTCACCTAGCCGATTCCGGGACACGGGAGATAAGGGAAGGATATCATAGCGAACAGTTTGGTACTGAATTATCTAAAAACAGCAAGAGAGAGGATTAGACCCCTTGAGCGGGAGATCTTGACAAAGGAACGTTTACTATATACGGGGCATCGTGGCAGTGACTGACGATCACCTCATTTAATCCTCAAGAACGCGGTAACGACGCTATAATAACGACAATGACGGCAACATCATCGTGTCTATTTTAACAACGGAGAGACCGAGGCTTAGCCAGGTTAGATGCCTTGTGTAAGACCACACTGCTAGGAATTATCTTATTTGGTCATTTGTCCCCCTAGTTAGAATGAAAACCTGGCGAGAGCACCCGGTCCCAGCTGCGTTCCCGGGACACTGTCACAGGGTGGGTGGTTAATATCAGAGCGGATGCAGTGGTGGCGCCAGGACCGCCCTAAGGCAGGCCGACCCAAAACCTGCCCTCTTCCCTGTGCTCTGCAAGGAACAGAGACACGCACGGCTCCCCACATTTCCGCCCCATGGATCCTTCGTGACAACTCTCGTCACTCGGGGGACTGAGCAGAGTCAGGACAGGAGGTCCTTGGGTACCTAAGGGGAATGAAGGGCAAGGAGGGAATCCAGGGGTTCTCAGGTCAGCTAAGTTCCCCTGGCTGGTGGCCGCCAGGCCTATTTTAACCAGCCACCTGTCCATTTCTGTCTCTACCAGCCAAGTCACAAGTGGCAGAGAACCTCAGCCCTCCGTGCTGCCTCCTTATTCCGGTACCCAGGACAAGGCACACTGGGAAGCCCCACCCACCAGGCTGACTGATAGGGTGGCGAGAAGGCCAGGGTGAATGAAGGGCTGTGAGGGACGTCAACAGGGGACAAGGACGTCAACCTTCCAGCTCCTCCGAGTCTTCTCTAGAAGCTCCTGTTTCTAGCACTCAGTTCTCTTCCCCGCGAGCCTGGCAGTCCCTTCCTCTGCTCTCTTCTTCTAGGCTTCTGTCCATCCCTAGGCCCCATCCCTAGGCCCCAGCCTCGCCAGAACCAGTCTCGCCCCTTGCAAGCCACAGGGCCCTCTCCTCCGAATGCCAAGGCACCTGCCCTTTTCTCCCTGCAGCAGGATGAAGGCCGCAACAGCTCGGGTGTCCTGGCCTGCTATCTCGGGTTGCACATGCTGGGCATGTAGGGAATGCTCCAAGCATCTGCCAGCAAGGGGGTGGGGGGAGAAACCAGATTGGAAGGGAAGGAAGGGAAGACAAAAGGCCGTGGGGTCAGCGCTTGCCCGGAGCGGTGCAGTTTTCCCAAAAGCTAGCCTCTAGAGGGGCTGGAGCTCTACTCCCTGCCTCCAGGACAGAAATTTCAGGGGCACACGGGGCGTGCTCGGAGCAAAGCCAGGCAGATAGAACAGCAGCTGACATGTGGAGAAAACCCCAGGAGCCAGCCCCACACACACCTCAGCATCTCTGACCCCAAATTCTTCCGGGCTCCTCACATGTGTTTCGGGGAAATAGCCTTGCCTACCACCGTGATCACCCAGAAACAACCCTCACCCTAAATCAGGAAGCGGAAGGCATAGACTGGTAAAGGAGACACTGAATCTGAAGCAGGCCCACTCCCCCAAGTCGGTCAACAACGACCACCACCACCCAGGGCTCTCTGGAGACTCTCGGACCTTCCAGGTATTACTGAGGTACACCGAAGAGCACGGGCCAGGGAACTTCTGCATGTCGGCTTACTGAATTCTCCCCAGCAGTAAGAACACAGCACATTCGCTAAAGGATGTTAGCCTGCGGGAGCACTGACCTTGGAGAGAAGCTCTCTGGGGGAGGGAACCCACAGATACTTGGGGACGTGCAGTCTTTGCTGCCCACAGGACCCCTCTCAAAGCTGGGGTCTCCTGGAGAGGCAAGCCTGCCCGCAGGCTCAAGCCTACAACTGCCAAGCACTGTCTTCCCAGAGAGACACCCCAACACCAATGTGCTCCTTTCCCTAAAGCCCAACATAAAAACCATCCTCCTTAGTCCCAGGGACTAGGTGACCCCAGATGCCCACACCAGGAAATAGGTTTCCGGGGCCCTTATTGGACGAGTCCCCGTAAAGCCAACGGCCGGGGTTTCTCCTTCACACCCAAGGCTGTTCCCCTGTTTGTCACGTATGGTCTCCCACCCACACCCCTACCCTTGCCACATAAGCCCGTCTGTCCCTTGTTCTGAGCCCTAACACACAGGGAGGCTCCTAGTAACGGAAGGGTCTGTCACAAGCCCACAGCCGACAGAGCCGGTGCCATCAAACAGGTGTTCTCCTCCTCTTGGTCTCTAACAACAACTCCAGCTTTCCTAAACGGCGCCCCACCCACCACCCTGGCCCCCAAGA